ACCTGACATGTAGTGGTGGCACAAATGTGCATAAAGTTTCTTTAAATTGTCCTGAGCTGATTAAACGCTATGTTCTGGATGAAAAAAATGCCTCGTTTTAACTTTGACCTTGATTTGTGACCTTGATATATGAGCTGGGGTGATGAAAAGATTACGTGACATGTAGTGGTGGCACAAATGTGCATCAAATTTCTTAAAATCATCTTGAGTAGATCCAAAGTTATGGTCTGGATGAAAATAAAATACCTTGTTTTATCTTTGACCTTAATTTGTGACCTTCGAGCTGGGGTAATCAAAAGATTACCTGACATCAAGTGGTGTCACAAATGTGCATCAAGTTTCCTCAAATCATCTTGAGCAGATCCAAAGGTATGATCCTGAAGAAAAAAATACCTTGTTTTAACTTTGACCTTGATTTGTGACCTTGACCTCAGAGCTGGGGTGATGAAAATTGTGTGTAACACTGTCCAGTGATATGTGTATTAAGTTTTGTTAAATTATTATTAAGTTCTGGGCGGGACAAAAGAAAGTTTATGAACAGGTATACTATGTACGTATGGTCAGATAGAAGCATGGAAACTATACAATAACATGCGCATTAAAATAAAAACTAATGTCCAGAACTCTAAACAAAACAAAATGAAAGCATCATCAAAAACAGATTTATCCTCAGGAAGGTTCCAGTGTTCCGCTGGTTTCTGTTATTCAAAAATAATTTATTAATCCCAGAGGGAAATTAAATTTTGTAACTCGTCATACATATCTTCTTTTCCCATACCTTACATACCTAATTTGACAACCAAAACTCGTAAATATACCAACTTTACGCCATGCCCATAACCATTTTTGTGCGTAAAATATGTTTATGATTCATAATAAATCATAGCTTGTTTAATGACGTGCGCTTCTGACCTCTTGGCCAGGTCAGCCTTGTAAAAAAAGATCTTTCTCCAAATGTTTTATTCTGGTTGAATATAGATAATGGAAACAGATGACGACACATGCAAAGAGTACAGAAAATTTTCCAACACACCATGAAATATTTGTATTTATGGACCCACTTTTGGTAACTTATGACCCATCATGATCCTAAAAACAGTGTTTTGGTGGGGAAAAAAAAGAGAAAACTCATTCGAACAAATTGTACTATAATAAAAAAAAAATTCAACATATTCGTGTGTGCGAATGGAAAGTTTGGACAACAGTAACATTTTTTTCAATTAACAATTTTTTTGTACATTGGCTGTGATTTGATCTATCACCAAGAATCTTTGCATGAGAATTGAAAAATAATGAGATGTAAACCACCTACTGGTCTCTTACGAATAATACAGCTTTATTAAATTCTGAGCGTAAATGATCTATTTGAAGTCATAGCCTTCACACTAGAACATAAAAAAAAATCAGTTGGAAGGTAGATTATCTTTGTAGGGTCTTGGTGTGGTCTTTATGAATTATCTTGGGAAAACAGTGAGCTCACACATGATAGACTGTAAAAGGTTTGCAATGGTTACAAGCAGGGATGTCCAATCTTGGTCCATGAGGGCCACGATCCTGCATGTTTCACTTGTTCCCCTGCTCCAACACAGCGGATTCAATGGCTGAATCACCTCTTCATGTTCTGCAGAAGCCTGTGAATCACCTTGGATTAAATCAGGTGTGTTGGAGTAGAGAAACATAAAACATTCAGGATAGTGGCCCTTGAGGACCAGGATTGAGGGTTCACAAAACTTGTTGCATTGGCATCGTATCAGGATCTTGGGTGGAGGCTAGGCTATGACGTTGATTGTAACAAGGTTACAGAAACAACCTAGCGCAGACGTAATATACTTTAATACCAGTGTCATGCTAGTACGGTTTGATCATCTACTCCATAGCTGCATCTTGACGACATCCGAGAACTGTGACAATGCAACCATTTAGAACTTGGCGAGGGCGCATGAAAGCTTCTTGACAACATATATGCCGAGTACTACGGGTGTAGCAGTGTAATGATTGCTTTTCCAATAAACGAGGTATTCTAAATTTGCCAGCATGAGGAGGACCTTAGACTTAGTACTCAGAGGACAACAACCACTTCAGTATTGCCAAGCGTATGCACGAACACAACCTGCCACAAGAAGGACAGAACGTAAATGTACTTTTGGCAATGAACCAGCAAAGATTCTTCCAATAGTGGCATATTTATGTAAATTTTAGCCAGTCACTTTGTGTGATAGACTCTACAAAACAGTATAGTAGCCTATATATATCAGAGCTCTGCAGATCATTTTTCTACACTACAACCTCTGCAATTGATTTTGTCATAACCAATCTAGCAGACTGCCTTTACAGCTGCCAGATTTTCTTTGATTTCTCATTAGCTTGCTTAAAGATAATCAAGATCAGCTCACAGTGATCTATTACACAACAATGCACATCCTCTTACATAACAGCCTTTGTATAAAAGGAGTTTCACTCATGAAACGCCCTTCCACCCATACATATTGTTGCACCTTAAAGAGTTGATGGATGTGAATGAATAAATGCCAACCCTCATTTATTTACAAGGATGGTGGTTACGGGGGTTGCTTTTTGCTGCATCATATGTCAAACTGCACTAACCGCAGTCAAGCCAGCTGGCAAAGACTTCTTTACTTAACGACATGCTCCAGTCAGCAAGAATGAACAGCTCCCCAACACAGATCTTAGCGTTTGTCTCAATCAACACTTCGTTTCTCTGGCGAGACGGCTCCGAACATTTCCCAAAGCCAAAAGGCTTAAGGCAGGGAATGTTTCTGCCACTGTCTTTTAGCAAAATACCACATCAACCACTGGATGGAGGTTAATGAAACTTTCATAAAGCAATCAATATCATTATGCAAGTCTACACCTT